TTAACGACCTACCTGTTTAATTACTACTCAGACTTCCAACCAGTTGTCCTGCAGGAGGAAGTCCCTTTTCCAAAAAGTCTGTGTTCCTCTGGTGAATCCCCTATCTCAGTACTTGTCCCGGTCCCATGGTCAGCTAGTATTCATTGCACAAAGCATTCCCAATTATACAAGACAACATCGTATGTTTACAAATTCATATTTTATTGTGCAACCACAGTAGTATTCAGAATAAAGTGATTAAACTATACTTATATTGTGTTGTAGTATGTATTGTTGCTTTCTAGCATTTAATGTATGCCTTCTGTATAAACGGAATTACATTATTCAAGTGTGGTGTCATGTGTTATTTACTGAAAAATACATACACTACGGTGCCACAACACACACCATAGGCATCTGCCTTTAAACTCCTCGTTTATAGAACCATTCACTCAACAGCCTGGTCATTAAGATTGCCTCAAATTATTTACTATCTCAAAATCCTTTTAATATTTCCTGTATAGGAACCAGCAGTTAGTGTAATGGCTATGTCGCTGGAGTCCCTGTAGCCGACCACAGTTCAAGTCCCGGACCCAGCGTCTTAAACTCACAGCGGGCGCGTGTGCATGTGTGCCCAAGATTCCAAGAGGAGAATAGGGGAGAAGGAATTGTGGCGTGGCCATCCCCTCGAGGGGTGATTTCTCGCTTTCTGTCTCTCTGTCTCTCTCTGTCTCTCTGGCGAGCACACGCACCCTATAGTAAAAACCTCTAAAATATATATATATTTCCTGTATAGTACATATCACTACCTGAAAGTAATTTATATATCTTTTTTAAAATATATTTATCTCTTCCTGTTAGAATAAAAGGCCTATGATAGCATGTGCCATGTTTTGCTTGTTTACTGCCACATCTCTAGCTTTCTAGCAGTACCTCAGACTATAAATACACTGAAGGAAAAAAAAAAAAAACTGGCAAAATAAAAACCCAACTGCCTGACATCTTCACTTGAATGCCTTATTAGCAACAGCTAATATAACATATCCTAATAGAATGACCCCCCCAAAATGCCATCCTCTCTTCTTGTGCTTCTGACCTAAGTGAATAATAGTACAACAATTCAACCAGCAGTAAAGCAAGACATTTAGAAGTCATCTTCAATACTTCCTTTATCCATCAAGTTCATTCCATCTCCAAGTCCTGTTACCAATGTGTCTCCTAAATATACTGAGTACCTCCACTTCTATCCTTCTGGTTTGTTTTTGCTTTTTGGCCAGGGGGCATGCATGTGAGCTCACTAGAAAGAGAGAGATTACCCCCAGTGGGGTGTGGTCACATTGCAATTCCTTCTCCTGCATTTCTTCATCCTGTTGGGATTTGAGGCACACATGAACATGAGCCTGCCAGGTTTTTCAAGCCACCAGAGTCAGGACGGAATTCAAATTCTGATTGGACCATGTAGGATTACAACTCACTTAACCACTAGATCAGGAGGCCAGCTCTACCCCTTCTCTTCCAACGTCACCCCCAATTCACTGTCTGAAGGACCATTACTTCTCACCTGAACTGCCTAACTGGTCTACACTCATCTCCTCTAGCCTCTCCCTCTAGCTCACTTGCTACACTGTAGCCATATGATCCATTCAAAAATGATCTGATTGTATCACCTCCCTATTGAAAATCCCTCAAATGAAATGAGCTGCTCTAGACACCTCAGCTTCATTTCTCACCCTTTCCTCCATTTATCCACCCATTCATTTATTTTATATAAATATATAAATATATATATATATATATATATATATATATAGTGTAGCCTTGCAGGCAATAGGACACAAACATAGACAAAACCCTTATTCTCATAGACCTTATAAAACTAGTGAGGGAGTGGGAGTAGCCACCAAACAAATCAATGAATACTAAGCTACACAATAATACTGAGAAGAAAAATAAAGGAGAGTAAAGTCACAGAAGAACTGTTCATCCGAGGAGCATGATGAAAAGCCATACACCTATTCTGGTTGCCCCAATAGTCAGGGGATGGTATTGCAATTCAGAAGAATTCAGGGATATTGATATGGAGCTATCCAAAACATAAAGAACTGTTTTCCACCCATAAGAGTTTCACATGGCCATTTAGGTGAAAAACCTTCCTCTAATTATCTACACCTTAATTCTATTTTATATACAAACAAAAAAGCAATTTGCATAATTTTAATATATAGTGGATATCCCAAGATTGAAATCATCATGTAAAGTAACAAAAGACTATACTTAGTTTTGTTCATAAGTTTGCTAATAGTTATTCACCATTTTGGAAAATCAGGTCACCCAGTAATAGTACTTGGTAATTTCAGTCACAAACAGAATATACCAGTGTAAGTTAGTATTGTAGCTGTTGCATGTGTAAGTATCTAACTACTTCACTAAGTCTTCTAATACGCTGTGCTTGGGCATATACATTCATTTATTATAAGTCATTTTTATTTCACTTTTGTATTATACTTTGGATACTCATGCCTTTTTTTTAACTGTGTGTATAGAATGAATACATTCATTAATTTATTTATTTGAAAAATGGTAAATTTACTGAGTACCTACATATGTTCTACTCACTACTCCAGAGACTTGGTATATATCAGTGAACAAAACAAATATGACTAACAAAAATTTAATTGATAACTAAATTACTTAATTTGTTGGAAGAAAAAGTAGAGCAGGATAAGGTGGATGCAGAATGATGAAAGGGTGGGGTGTAGGGTATAGAATTTGGCTCTAACAAATATACTATCCAATATATCTTATCTATAGGTTCAAACCCAGATTCCTTACTAAAATATTTTATCTACTTTAGACTAAATAATCTGCACTAACAAGTAAATGTGTAGCTTCACCAATTTGTAAAGTTGAATTGAAAAGATCACAAGCTTATGGGCTGGAAGAATTTACAGACAATGCAGAGACCATCTAGCCCAAGTCTCTCCTCTCACTAAGTACTAGAGAACTAAAATGATCTGTCCAAGGTTACTGGCAAATTAATGATAGGTTCTGCTATATTTAATATTCTCTTTATGAGTAGATACTGAAAGTATTTGTCTAATTTCTTAAAAACTGAAATAAATACTATGGGACCTGCAGGTAGTGTAATGGTTACATCACTGGACTTCCACATAGTCAGCAAACCTGGAGGCTTAAACTCACACCAGGCATGTGTGCATTCCCGCCCAAAGTCCCAAGAAGAGAATGGAGAAGGGACTGTGGTATGGCTAACAACCTTTGGGGGAGCGAGGGGCCATCTCTATGGTGAGTGCACACGCCCTATAGCACAAATCTCTCTCTAAAATAAATAAATAAATAAATAAATAAATAAATAAAAATAAAACAAATACTGTAACTACCACACTACTCCAAGAAAAAAATGACAGTAGAATCAACATGTAATGAACTCTCAGTCTAGGTAAGTTTACAATTATATTTTTAAATTCTGTGTTTAAAAAAACACATTGAAATTTTATCTGAGAAAAAAAAACAAATAGCCAGAGAATGAAATAATAAACTAAGAATTTAGAGAAGAGAAAAAAGATAACTGGAGAGAGAGAGCAACAAATTATTTACATGTATATAGATAATTTTGCTTTCTTAAGCGTTTTTAAGCAGTTTTGGTTTTTTTGTTTTGTTTGCTTTTTTTGTTTTCTGTAGGGTACCTGCACTCGCTGGGACGACAGAGACAGAAAGCAAGAAATCACCCTCCGAGGGGGTGGCCACACTGCAATGCCTTTTCCTCCACTATTCTCCTCTTGGGATTTTGGTGCATGCACATGCACCCAGCACTGAGTTTCAAGCTGCCGGGTCCAGGACTCGAATTACAGTCAACCATGTAGGAGTCCAGCAATGTTAACTACTACACCATTTGCTGAACCTTTAAGTAATTCTTTTTAACAAACACTTAAAGGTTGTAGGCCACAGAAATTTAAAGCTCAAGTGTTAATATGCTTAAGATCAATGAGTTATGAAAATCAAAATAGAAATATAATTAGATATATAGCAATCTAATTTACAGATGATTTTATAAAAATATACCAATTGTGCAAACTTATTATGCTTAAAATGATTAATTTCACTGAAGTTCAGTTCAGTTTGAGAGGTTCTAAAAAATGTGAAGTTGGGGGTCGGCTGGTGGCATGGTGGTTAAGGGCACTGGACCAATAATTCTTTTTTTAAAAAGTGAAGATAAAAGTCAAAAGTAATTCCAAAGTAAACACACCTGGAATTTTAAAAATTAAAATATTTGTATAGTGACAAAATTTAAGATTTGTGTAGCAAATTTCATGGACATTGAAATTCCTCCATAAGGTCATCATAGCACAATGATGTCATTATTTCTGAAAGATGATAACTGAAAAAAAAAATACTTTCAATCATACATTTAAACTTTCAGGTTATTTACAAGTTATATAAATCGTTTCCCCTAAAACACAACTTTTCATAAACTAATTCATACAACTTTCAGTAGCACTCAAGAACATTAGTTTGGCCTGCTATCAAACCTAAAAATATATTAAGTTATTCGATAAGTTGTAAGAAACAACAAAACAGTTCAGAAAAAGTCAAGACAAGTATTTCATGTAGCCATCAAACACACGGGCATTAAGAGTCAAGGTACCATTTCATCTGCCATGGCTATTGCTGTTTAACAGTAAGTGATGACGTTAGTATTCTATTATCCCTAAAGCTAAGCTACCTTTCCAAAAAGTACTTAAAGTCTACATCTAACTATTCTTAAATATTCTCATTAATCAAATAAAACTTACAATGAGGGAAATTTCTACTATAGATAGAAAAGGGATTATTCTTTCAGTCATTATTCACAGGATGACAAACTGCATTTTTTACATTGAAATTAAAGACAGGGAAAGAATTATTAATCCACTGTATATTTCAACATATTAATTACTGAATCACTAATCTGAAAAACGTTGTAAAGCCTTAAAGCATTAAAACCCCACACCTGAAACACTTACCATTTTATCTAGATGTTCAATGGATCTATAAATCTCCCCCTGGGATTCATCATAGTAACTGTAACGGAACCTTTGACCTTGAAACAAATATCATGTACAAAATAAAATAGGGAAAAATTAGAAGCTAAAAAGAAAGCAAGCGCTTACCCAAATAATTTCAGTTCTCATGAAAGGCAAAGCACAGCTTAAGCCTCTGAGAGAATCATTCCCAAGAGCCCTCATACATAAAAATAAAAGGCATATTTGGGAAGGAAATAAAGAAATGATATATCACCAGTGTTTTATGATTAAAAACTATTTCAAACTGTAGAACCTTGAAGTAACCAGCAATACAAGATGGAAACAAAACAGCTTGAAAGTTAGAAGCATTGTTAAACATTGTATCAGAATATAATGGAAAGGAAACCCAAGGAATGAGATTCAAAATAAAAAAATTGATTTAAGAAAACTATCTAAGTGCAATAAATCAATAAAAGCATCGCTTTTGTTGTACAAAGGCAAAGAATTGATCTCTATTACAGGAAAAAAATGTGTAGGTCAGAAATACTTGTAACTTGTGTGATTTTTATGACATTGATAAAAAAAATTTATCTCATTTTTCACTACTTGGGAAAAGATCAATACAAGTGCCATAATGGGATGTGAACAGAATACACAAAAGGAGAAATATAACAAATAGTCCTACCCTGACATAAAATCTCAATAAGAGTACAAGCATTGCACATGCAACATGTAGCTGTTCTCCAAAGAACAGAGAGGGTAAAAATGAGAGAAGCTTTTTAAAAAGAAAGCAGACAATTAAAGGTTCAGAAAATAAATTCTGTTTCCTACTACAGTCATAGGGAAATGAAAAGTTAAGTATATTCATAACTAATTATGGAGTGTTATTCCACTGACTATATTTCAAAGTCACCGAAAATCTACCTGTCAACCATGCCTTTTTTCTAAGAATTCATTATTTTATATTTCCTTATTTTGAAAGATTCACCAACATGCATTTTTATCGATACTAAAAGTGTACTAATCATGTACACACGATACATTGCTGCCTTCACGTTTAAGGTAACGTTAATGGGTCCATACAATTATTATCCTCACACCTTAGGAGATGAGTTTATGTGACTGGATAATTATGACTTAAGTTTTCTATTCATATTACAAAAAGAGTATTATCTTAGAAGTAATGGGGAATGCAAAATTATAAAACCCTCTTTGGTGTCCTTATTTCAGAGAAAGCACACTTCACAGAACTTAACACTTCATTTGTTACTATTGTGTTTGATGGTCACTTTTGTATAAAACATACCATATTTCTGCAATTTTCATACTTTAATATTTCACATATATTAATATGGGTTGGATATCTCTTATCCAAAACACTTGGAACCATAAGTTTTTCAATTTTGGGGGGAGTTTGGAATATCTGTATTTATATAATGAAATATTTGAGTGATGGGACCCAAATCTAATTACAAAATTCACTTCAATTTCAATATTTTTGTATTGCAGCATTTTGACTGTGACTTGTCACACGAGGTCAGTGTCAAATTTTCCACAGCTACGTCATATAGACACTCAAAAATTTTCAGCTTTTGGAGCATTTTGGATTCCAAGTTTTCTGATTAAGGATACTCAATCTGCTAGTTTTCAACATAGAAGGTTTTATTTTCTCCCAAGAGCCATTACTGAATCAATATTTCATCTCATATGATGATACCTTAGTATAATGAAATAGGGTGTGAAATAATACCTACTTTCTGAATATAACAATGAAGATAGCTGCATGCTGACCTAGCTCTGAGCACTACTGCAGTCCCTGAACTAACACAACCTTAATTTAGTGATAAATTATCACTCAATGCTTCCATACTAAATGATTCATCAGCTATTTCTTTCAACATTTAGAGTTCAGTATAACTTTGTTTTACTTTAAAGAGTATATAAACTTCATATACATCTAATAATAAGGATTAATAATGAAAACTACATCTTTTTTATTTTTCTCATTTGCTAGGTAGCTGTCAAAAAGGCTGCTCAAAGCCAAATCTAACTTCAGCCACAGTACTGTATTGGTTAAATTCACTGGCATTAAATTTTAATTTCTATTTTAAAGTTCTCTTGATAATACTGCTCAAAATCTTTGGTAAAAACAAATAAATGAATACCTTACACAAGAAAATTCTGATTGTCACCAAAGTTAAGAATACACCTATAGAAGAAATCAAGGTAATATCCACCTTGATTCCTCAAATCTGAACTGCTTCAAGTTTTTATTAATACATCCTCTTTTTCCCGCTTCTGGAAAAAGCTGTTAGTTTCTAATACTGTCAATAAGCCTTGTAACTAGAACATAATCATCTTAGACTGTTAATCCCACATGTGGAAAAAAAAATGCATGTACTTTGTAAGAGTCATTTGCCTCTCACAGTTTCCTTGTTTACTTCCATGTTCAGAGTGGCTGTTTCAAATGGCTGAAGTCCGCTAACTATGCCTTAATGGTAAGTGAAAAGTATAACTGCACTTCAAAGTGCTATCTTTTTCATAAGGACCACTTTCTATATAACTCTCACTTAAAAACTACTTCTGAAGAGAAAAAAGCATGAAATGTTCACAATACTTTAAAATACTGAATCAACATGTGGTTTCATGAGAATGACAAAATACAAAGAAAACCAATTTGAGCAAATATTTGCTATTTTACGATCTAAGAAACTTTCTGTTACTTTTTAAAAGCCACTTCGCATTTAGTAGCTGAAAAACTGAGTATAAATATTTGAATAGCTCTAAAGAATGTATCAACTGAAAAAGCTAAACTCATACTATACGGAGCTACTACAGTGAAATATTTTTACTTGTAATAGCTCAAACTATTCCATGATAATTTTTAAAAATCTGCACAAACATTTAAAAATTACTTGAGCCGTGCATTGTGGTCAATATATATACAGAAAGCATCTAATGTGAAGTACATGGTTGCTATCAACCCAGCCTACATGTAGGGATGTATGTATGTATTTATGTATGTATGCCTATGTGCCTATACATACACACTAGTCAATCGCCTCTTGGAAACTGAGTTCAAAAGAGCTTTTTTTGGCTTATTTTTAAAAAGCTGCTCAAGATTTTATTTACTAATTAAGGAAATGACAGCACTAGCACAAGGAACTGATCATATATAAATCTTTAATGATTTATTGCTGATTTAAACACTTTATGATTTCATGTATCTCATGAGGACATATACTTTATTTCACAAGTTTTTATATTTCTGACATGCAGTAAGAGTCATGAATCTGAACTGGGAACAAATATAGTTGCCTCTGTACCTGGAGAACTGGACTTGTGTAGTTTTATAAGTATGAATAAAGCATATCACATAGTAAGAGAAAATTACTTACCTGAAACTTATCCTTTCAGAAGGTACACTGGGAAAATGGATTCTTTGAGCCCCTGTTTCAACTCCAAGTATGAGCTTTCTAGCTTTAAGAGCCATTGACACTGCCCCTAGGGGCAGCACAAGCTTTGGAACTCCCCTAGTGAGTATGTCAGTAGTTTCTTCAGGTGCCTTCCCTCAGTTCTTTTCAAATTCAAAAGATGAGAGGAAAAATAACCCAAGAAAAAAAATCCTGTAAAGCAGAAACCTTACTCTTTGAGGGAAGGAGGGTAGCTCATTTGTGAATCCATTCCAGAGCACGCTTTCTGAGAAAAAGAAATACAGGTAAGTAATTTTCCCATCTCCAAAGGTGACTGGTGATTAATGAGTGGATTCACAGAGTGTGGAGAATAAGCTCCAGGGATGTCTGTTTAACACACAACAATCAACTAATGAGGACAAACATAACAATGAATGGTACAAGAACCAACACTATTATCCAAGTACCTCAAAACAAAAAGTTAAAAAAAAATTAAATTGCTCAACATTAAACTAAGCACTGAACTACAGAAATAAATAACAACCTTGGAAAGTTGATCTACAAAGTTCCCAAAAGATCAGTCAATATGACAGACTTCCAGACATATGCACCCCCAAAATAACTGTACTGTTATATGTCTATTTAATCACTTTCTATGTATGTTAAACCATTTTTCAACTATTTGAGTTAACTTCACAAGAACCTGTGAGATAATTAGGCCACTCTATACTAAGGACCTAAACTAGGGACATTCATAATTAAAATCACTACCAAAGTAAAAAAGGTATTTCACAAAAGAAATCTAAGTAGCATCGAATAAGGTAATCATTTTTCAAAAGCCCTGCTATTGCCCTATTATTCATTCTGCAGTTCAACGGATCAAAAACCTACGTATGAGGGGACCAGCAGTTGGCATAATGGCTATGTCACTGGACTCCCATGTAGTCGACCGCGGTTTGAGTCCCAGACCCAGTGGCTTAAACTGACATGTGCCTGTGTGCCCAAGATCCTGAGAGGAGAATGGAGAAGGGATTGTGGTGTGGCCCTCCCCCCTGGGGGGTGATTTCTCGCTTTCTGTTTCCCTGTCTCTCTCTGTCTTTCTGGCGAGTGCATGCTCTCTATAGCAAAAACCTCTTCAAAAGAAAAAAGTAAAAAAAATAAAAAAATAAAAAACAAATCCAAGTATGTAAAATCACTATTTACAAATATTTAAGAAGACCAATATGAAGGCTTGGGTAAGAATTATTTTAGGAATTAGCTAACTTATACTCAGACCAATTTAAATATTTAGAAAGTAGCAATACCCTATATCCAAGAGACTAACAGAAATGAAGACTATATATGAATAATAATTTATAAATGTATAGTAAAGAAGGAATCTGAATAAAGATATAAATTTCATAAATACTGAGAGAATGCCACTTTCGATACATGGCACATATTTATAAAAAATTTGTTTTAAACATAATTAAGAAATGTAAGTTTATGAATAAAAATTCAAAATTGCTGAAGGGACTATGGGAAACTTTATTCATATTCCAACAAAATAATATATAAGTATTTACCAAGTAAATTTATTAAAGCTGATTTGCAAAACCACCATAAACAGCAAATCAAATAGAAGTATATCTCAACTTTTAGAGAATGACTTCTGTTAGATCTAA